GCCGCTCAACTCAGGATATTTAGTAAAATAGCATTTCAGACTAGAGAAAATTATTCTTTACTGTAAAGTTGGAAACAAATTCCATTAAAAGCCTCCTAGAATGTCATTTAAACTTGTGTGTTTCTGATCAGTTACATCTGATCATTTTACAAGCCTAGGTTTAATTCTCCTTTACCAAACGAATCGGAACATCATCTTCCCCCTTTCAGCAAGCTACACATAATTACCGTGTGTGATGCAGTTATGGAAAGCCTTCAGATGGGGTACTCGCAGGGTAGAATATGTCCAGATTATTGTCTTTTCATACAGTAAGCATTGGTGTTGTAGTAATCCTGCTTCCAGTGAAACTTAATAGAAATTGTGGAAGATGAATCAAATCCTCAATTGAAATAGTTAATGGATTATCTTGCAGTCCTTTACAGATTATACGCAAATCAAGAACTGGCTTCTGGCTGCAGAATCGCCACCTGAGCCCCACTTTCATTAGTGAGGTCTGGTTTGTACTGATGAGATGTCCCTCGTAGTAGCAGAACTGTTTAATGAAAGTGTCTTCCAGAAGCTGAGCCAAAGGATCTAGGCATCTTTATTTGCAGGGTCTGCAAAATTCCATGCTAAGGAATAAACTTTACTCTGCCCTTTGCTTTTTTTTGTTTTTTTTAGTGTGATTTGGGGATTAATTGTTTCATACCTCCTTCCAGAATCTCATTTCCGGTTTTAAAGCAGTAGTGGCCCATTGTAATAGCATTTCAGAATCTGAGTGGAATTAGGTGAGCAGAGAAGTAGTGGAGACAGTTCATTCATCCCTTGCGGTTGGAGCAAATCACATTTTCCTCCCCTCTCCCTTTTTCCCCAAAATAAATCCCCATTGCTGGCTGGGGCTTAGATGAAATTGACAGTTCTGGTGAAGAAATCACTTGTAGCTGCTTTGGAGACCAGAAGAAAAAGGGAGAACTCAGAGGAAACCCCTCTTGAAATCCCCAAAGTTGGTGCATTGATGTGTGTTTACAGAGAAGAATTCAGCTCTTTTTCCACTGTATAGGACTGATTGTTGGTCACTAAACTCCTAAGTTAGTGGAAAACGCTAGAAATAAGTAATCTTTCGGTTGGTGTTGCAGACATTGTATGTACCAAGTGACCCATGGTTACTTTGGTCAGCAAGAGGCCCCACAAAGCTCGTGGACAACCCTAAACCATATCCGCACAGTTGGCAAACTAAAGACTCGCCAGTGTATGACTGTGGGTTCCCAAACAGGCCCTGGACTGTGTAGCAAACCAGGGCTTGATTCACAACTACGGGTGCACTCTGCTTGTCCAGACTCAACTATCTGGCTGAAATGCCTAACTGTAAAATTATAGGAAAAAAAACAACAACAAATAGTCTGGTAGCACTTATAGACTAACGAAACATGCAGTTGGAATCATGAGCTTTCGTGGGCACAGCCCACTTCAGCTGACCCGTCATGGTCCCATCTGCATGTTTCGTTAGTCATAAGTGCTACCAGACCATTTGTTGTTTTTTTTTCTGTAACAGACTAACTCGGCTGCCCCCTGAAGTTCCTGTAAAATTATAGCTATTGCTCTACATTTACGTCAGCCATAGATAGGATGATGATTAGGGTTAAATGAGTGGATTGGAGAAAGCAGAATGTGCATTGACCGTAAAATGCAAGGCACATGCTAGTTTGGCCTCCGTACTGATACTGTCAGTGACCACTGCAACAGAGATGGCATTCTGATCTTAAAACCGTGATAGAAATGTAGCCGTGTTAGTCTGGTGTAGCTGAAACAAAAGACAGGACTATGTAGCACTTTAAAGACTAACAAGATGGTTTATTAGATGATGAGCTTTCGTGGGCCAGACCCACTTCCTCAGATCAAATAGTGGATCTTAAAACCATGTGTCTGGCTCCATAACAAATCACCTGTTTTAAGATCAGTTCTGTCTGCTTAGGGAGACAGAGAGAGAGACTTGGTTTATTCAAAGATGTTTCAAAGTGTGAGTTTTCAAAGGAATAGAGAGGCTATTTAGAGAGGAACAAAAGATTTTGAAACTAGAGATATTCTGGGGCAAAAACTTCCTCAAGCAGTGGAAACAACCTGTTTTTTTTAGAAATGCTGTCTAACCACTAGTGGCAACATTCCCAGAAATGGGTTACATTGGAAAGCCAGAGGAAGAAGAGCACTGAGAATAAAGTGTCACTAATTGTCTGTTGAAGCAGCCTCGCAAATTCATGTGGTCAGAAACCTTTCTTGCCTTAGTATTAGGCCTGCGGGAATTCTGCAATTTTACTGTCTCCAAATGCAACTCTTGCAAAATTACTCCAGATTGTATTTTCTTGTGACTTTTGTAAATGTAGGCTTATGTGTATCAGTGAGAGACTATAGGAAATTGAAAGTCACGTTATTTGTGACACCCTGAGCCTGGAAGCCCAGTCAGACTAGGCCAGGACTACTCAAGTTGGGAAGCCCCAAGGCCACAATGGTATTCACGGCACATGCCAAGGGCCACAACTTAAGTGTGGTTGCATGTACATGCAAATAGCTTCTTTCACATGGACAGGCACGAATACAAAGCACTTCCCACTCTTCCCTGGGGGGTAGAAACACCGACACTCTGTACCCATCTGTTCCAGCCGGCCCGTCCGCTTGTGTCTTTCAGTGCTCACCCCGCCTGGGAGATGCCTCGCCGTTGTGGAGTATGTTCCCAGTGGAGGCCATGTTCAAAGGATCCCACCTGTGGGCTGCCTGTTGAGCCCTGCGTAAACCCAAACTGCACCACAGGCTGCAAACAGATGGGCCGCAGGCAGTGGGAGGTCCATGGGCCACGTGTTGAGTAGCCCTGGTCCAGGCTCTACCATGGCGCTTCTAATTTAGCTTTTGCCAAACTCCCTTACTGCAGTTGTCACACACGTTTCCAGCTATATACTGGCTGCCTGCAAGATCGAGCCTTGCCAGACTTAAGTCTGTAAAATATAATCATGAATTTAACAGATATGGAGCTAACGGATATGGAACAAATTAGGTTTTTTCCTCTTCAAAGAGGCCAGTGATCTGTAGGCCGTGGGTTTTTTTGCTGCATGCTGTAGCTGGGTGAAGACTTGAAGACTATCACTGAGATTTTCCTGACACTAGCCCATAATTCACTATGGCTTTTGGAATATAAATTGTCTGAACAATTGGCTGCACCCCTGGCCATGGAGGAAATTTTTATACGTTAAACCATCCTTTTTTGTGAATCAATTGAGCTGCTCTGTCAGTCTGTAAATGTAATTTCCATGCAAGCTTGCCCCTCTTTGTTCTCTTGCGATAAGAGCTGCTCCCAATATCCCAGTGGTAAGTTTGGATTGATAGCTTAAGTGGCCCTATAGTGAGCGGAAAATGTGTTTGCACTTGCTTGTGGCCTGCTGGCTGTGTTTATTTGGGTATTCTCTGTGTGCTGGCTTCCAGAAAAATGAAAACCAGCTCTCTTGTGTGCCTATGGCACCGCTATGGAAGGAATGTTTTAAAGCATAAAGGTTCTGTGGCATTGACACTTACTCCTGTGAGCTCTGGGTTCTGTTGTTGGGACCTGCTGGGGGGTTCTGCACTGATCTCATTAGAATTTTCACATTGTTAGTGAAAACAGCAAAGGGAATCCTGTGAGAATTGTACTCCCACCAACTGTCCTTTCTTCCTGCGGTTTATGTAAAATTTTAGACGGCTGTGTTGGGGCTGGAAATCCGTATGAATCAGGGAGTGGAAGAGATGAGCCCAAAGCATTAGATGGGATGGACGCTTTTATGGAAGCCAGAGGAAAGTTCTGAGAAATGTGTTCAATATTTGTTTGCACGGAGAAGGGCTGATGAAGAGATGCAGCAGATACCTTTTGGAGAATACTCAAGGCATAATTCTTTGTACACAAGCAAATGGACTATAATCTGTAACTCCGCATCCATTGAAAGTGGCCATATGCCCTGTTCGGTCTGATTAACTTGTGGTTTTTGGTAACATATTTTATGAATCTTGGGATGACCATTTTTTGCACAGTGCAAATTTGTTTTCCTAGTACCTAAATGAGTTGTTATTATGGACTTCCTTTTTGTGCAGTAATAGGACTGTAGGTAAAAATGCACAGATTTTGAAATGTGCATCTGGACATTCATTCAACTTTATTTTATACTATTTTCACAGCCTCTCCTGCTTGTGAGTGGAATTAGTGGTTAACGCACCGCGTTGCATTATCAAAGTTCAGATAGGTTTGAGCCTTTATTTGCTTGCGTTTCTTGATGGAAGATGAAGTGCGCCTTGTGTTTGCATGTGTGAGCTTTTCTGGGGGAAAGATGTTCATATGGCCATTTTCATATCCTAGATTGTATTTATGCACCATTTAAGAGTTGACCCTCAACTGTGTGTCTGTGAAATTACATTCCTCACAACTTGCTTGCTGGGAAAGTACCACCTAAGCAAGGAATAGTGTGAAAATTGCAGTGTCAGAAAACACTTGCCTAAGGTGCATGGAGCATAATTCCTGCCTCGGTTCCCAGGTCTGTTGGTCCTTCTTTGTACTGGATTTACTAGACCAATATCTCAATAACACCTCGTGCTGGGATATTATGGCGTTGAGGCACGTCCTCAGGGTAGTGGATTGAGGAAGCCCCCCGTGGAGAGATCCCGAAGGCTTGCACTGAATAATATGGAATAAGGCGCTGTGGACCAACAGTACCTAGGAGAAGGAAAACTCTGCAAACTGGTGCAATGAATGGTACTGGCTCCTGATCTGACCACTATATGGTCAGGCAGTTGTCCTGAATGTCCTGCTGTATGGCTTGGAGTCATGGACAATATATCATTGCCATGTTTTGAAGCTTGATCAGTTCCATATGCATTGTCTGAGGAAGATTGCCTATGTGAATTGGTGGGACAAAATTCCTAATATGGAGGTTCTTAAGCTGTGTGGTGTCATGGGCATGGAAGCAATGCTTATGAACAAACAGTTTCGCTGGATTGGTCATGTTATGAGGATGGATGATACACGGATACCAAAGATGTTCTTCCATGGCCAGCTTGCTCATGGAAAGTGCTCTATTGGCGATCAGTATAAGTGCTATAAAGACATCCTAAAGGCCAATACAAAGTCATGCGGCATATATCCCAATGATCTGGAAACGATAGTTCAGGACAGATTGTCCTGGCGACAAACTATTGTACAGGCTCTTAATTGCTTTGAGAGTCAGCGTATCCAGGCATTGCAGGAAAAGTTCAGGATCCGAAAAGAACATACAGCGCCTGCTATTGGCAGCTTTTTATGTGACATCTGTAATCAGCTCTGCCGATCAAAGATTGGTTTAGTCGCTCACCAACAGTGTCTCAGAAGATGAGATCCGTTGATCGATGGCTATCCAAGAAGAATCTCAGTAACATTTGTGTAAGAAGCATATGGGGAGAAGCTGCATAGAGGTTGGGCAGATGAGAGCCTTTTCTTAAATGTCTTTGGTTGCAGTTTTCCAGCAATGGAAGCTAGGATACTAGTCTGATGATCTCAGTTGATCTATCTTGATGGTCTCATTTGCAGCCCTTGGCAATTACACTTTGAAGACAGATAGGAAATCTGTCAACTGACAGTTGGCTGCTCTGCTTTGAACAGTTGTTTTTCTTTGTTTACCAAACATGAAGGAATGTAAGTGCTTTTGCCAGCTGCCTCCCTTAGTGGTTGCTTTTATTCTGTTCTGTCTTGTACCAAAGTGCCTACCTGCAAAGATTCTTTAATACCCTCTGAGTATTAAAGAATGTGTAGAATATTAACTATGTATCCTCAAATTATACTACACAAGACATTTTACTTGGAGCATTGAGCTCTGTGCTTGTGCCCATCTGTACAGTAAAACAGACACTACAGTGAGGAGGGCAACGTAAGAACTAGGGATGTAAATCCTAGTTAACCGGTTAAATCTTTTGCTCCCACTCCCATGCTCTGGGCTGCGGCTGCCTACCCCTCCACGTGGGGAGAGAGAGCAGGAAATGGAAAGCCCAAGCATTGGGGGGGGAAGCTCCTGCTCCTCAGCCCCTCCACATGTGATTCTGCTAGAGCCAGCACCCCAAAATGTATGGGGGTGTCGGCTTCCGTTCCCGGGTCCCTCTTCATGTGCGGGGCAGTCAGCGCCTGCTCCCGCCTCCTTCCTCCCTGCGTGGGGGCCAGCCCCCAACCCAAGTTGGGCTGCAGGCAGGGGGTGTTCTGGGTACTGGTTAACCAGTACTCAGTAAGCATCACCTGGTAGCCGGTTACCCATTCAGATCCCTAGAAGGAACAGGATACAGTGTTAAATACAGGATACAGAGCCTTAAGACAACCTAAGCACTTTCACTTTGTGCATTGTGACATACCTGGTGCCTGTCATGTGTGGGTTCGTTCTGATATTCTGCCCAGAGAGTGAATTGTGTGTGCTGTATAGCAGGCTATTTGTTTTTTAAAGGTACATGTTGGTGTGTGTCTATCTGGTACCTGTTACATGGTTTGGTCCTGTGCATGTGAAGACTACTCAAACCATGTCATAACAAGGCAAGACAAAATGTGTTAGCCTTAAAAAGGGCCTCAGACATGGGGCCTGACTCCTGTGACAGTCCCTTTTCCAGGCACGTTGGTGCACATGAGTCTAAAACCCAACAGATCAGGTCAGCTGACAGATCTTGTGTAGGGGAATCTCCATGGATAGAGCCCTAAGACCCTAAGCTAGTTCTTCTCTGTGAAATCTAAGTTCCCCTTGCTGCTTATTGCACCTCCAATTACAGCACCCTGCAGTTTCAGAGGTAAGCATCTGAAAACATGAAACTGACCAATTAAAGCTCCCCCACCCCTCTGGCTGTGAAATTGACTCTGAGTTTGGTAGGGGCCCTATGCAACCAGGCATGGGGGAGTGTGGCTGGAGCATCTCTCCCCACCCCAACCCCTTTTTCTCCCCCCTTGATGGTGTTGCCTCTGAGGCTGCAAAGCAGCAATTAAGGCAGCCCTGAGGCTGGTCTGTTACCCAGCTGACTTGGCCCATGACATTTTTGTCACCTGTCTCCCTTGAGTCCTATACTAGGCACGGCTCAGCTGGACTCAAGGATCGGGTCCCAGTTTTTAACAGATTTCTTCTACACAGTGAGGCCCAAACCATGTTCTAACAGTTGGTCTCCAGTACTAAACCCTGCATAAACTCAGGCAGGTTCATAGTACAGGCAGTCCCCGGGTTACGTACAAGATAGGGACTATAGATTTGTTCTTAAGTTGAATTTGTATGTAAGTCAGAACTGGCTCCAGATTCAGCTGCTGCCACTGAAACTGACCAGGGGCTGACTACAAGAAGCCTGAGGCAGAGCTGATCTGCCCCCAGCATCC